AAATTTAATGAACTTTTTTTTATTTTAATTTTACAAATATATATAATTAAAATAAAAAAACTTTACTAAATTTGATCAAATGGTTACTGAGAAATCATTGCTAGAAGTTTAAAAAAATTGGATGTTTTGGCTCTGGAATTAGATCAGAAAGGATCTACGGTGATCTTCAGCCCGAAACCTGTTGATCACATGATTTGCCTCCGCTTTAGACGTCCCCCAAATTTATATAATGATCTTCATATCGCATACATTCATTGCATATGTACGTATGTTTTCCATTAATTCATTTAAATATGTAGCCAATTAAAATTTTAAATAATTATTTATAAAGGGTCAAAAAAAAAAACAATTGAGGCTCTTGATACCATAGTCCTGGTTGTTTGGGCAGTATTCTACAATTGTAATGGTTGAGGTTCGAATCCAACGCAGGGCAAACTGCTTGATTCAAAGAACCTGCTAATTAACTGCGCCTTGACTATGGATGACATATACATGGGTAGAACCAGATTTGCCAAAAGTTTCTGAAGAACTTGCAGGTCCTGTGGAAGGTTGCCTAATGTCTGAATTGAATATTCCTCATCGGGGGTACACAACGAGGAGTGTATGACCGCTCAGTGTAATCGAATCTTCGGATAGATAGTGACTAAAAGCGAGATGATAGCTGGCTAAGCATAAGGGTCGCGTGTTGGCACCAATTGTTTGTGCTATAGTGGTATAGACTTTCGTCGAGTGACCCAGTAACATATACCACTTTTTTTTTTTAATTACTGGACATTTATAATCTAAAAAAATTTATATGGATATATTTACATGTGAGTAGTGATGGGACCTCATGAATTATTAATAATTAATAATAATTATTAATTGATTGATCGAATTATTAACTAATAACGACTTAATAATATATGGCACAGCTAATTAAAGGATGTATAAAAAACGAAAAGTTGCGTCAATATTTTCTCAAAAATTGCTGAGATATTGGCGGACTAAACTTTTATTAAATCTGTTGGTAGTTAATTTAATTCATCATATCGACATTATTAGCGATGATCGAAGTTATTAACTATTAATAATATTAATAACGCATTATTAATT